TGGATAATATATTTTAGGGAACCCCCCAAAACTCTTTTTAGTATTTTTAAAAACATATTTAAAAAAAAAAAAAAAAAAAAAAAAGGCACACATATTTTCTTCCAAATAATATAACTACAGTCTATGAAAATATAATCACTATTAATGAAAATGAACTCTCAATTAGTTCTTAAAACATACTTCTTAAAAATCATAGTTTTATTACCTATTTCACAATCATTTGATGATCTTGCCTGGATCTAATGAAATACATTATTGAAGAGGAATAAAAAAATAATCATTTGTAAGTATCCCAAGGGAAAAAGGGGAAATTGAAAAAGTGAATCTGCAAGATTGCCTGGAGTCTGAAAAAGATGGTTCACCACAACCACAACTACCACGTGACTAATTCCTTTGATCTGCAACTGCAAGCTACTCATAAAAGATTAAGAATAAAATGACCACGTGTCAATAAACTGTCTTCGAGTCCTAAAACGATATTAAGCATACAATCTGGGGTTCAAACATCCCAACTTCAGCACCTATTAACCATTTGGTTTTGAGAATGTTTCTTTTTAAACTTCTTATCATCTTGGTTTTCTCATTTTTAAAATAGACATAAAATGAACCTCAGAGATGGCACAAGGATTAAATGAGATAATGTACCCAGAATATAGTGCCTCCTCTAGAAAGTGCTCGATGTGCAGTGGTAAATTGGAACCTTTCACAGAGCAAAGTATTTTGGGGGGAAAAATGTACAGGAGTATAGTCAAAGATCATTTAATGTTCAGCAAACATTTAGTAAGAGCATATTTAATATACGTGCCTGACGTAATGCTAAAAACTATTGATATGATTGTGAACAAAACAACTATGTTTAGATTCTAGCAGAAGTGAAAATTGGTCAATTAAATCTAGTGTGGAAAGTGCAATGAAGGAGCAGACACAAGGTTTTTGGGGCGCACATAAGCAGCTAGGACCTGGAGGTCTTTAAGAGGCAAAAGGGCATGCGTAAAAAGTCTATAGGCAAGACAGGCAGTAACAGGGCAGAAAAACAAACAAAAAAACTGTTGTATTATGCTATAATTCAAAAACAAGAAACAGGATATCCTATTGAAGGATTTATACTATGGGCTCAAGAAAAGAGACAAAAAAACAAGAAAGAAGTTTACTCTCTAGTGAGTGACAAAGAGAGTGTTAAAGATTACAAGCAGTTCATCCTAGAACTAGTAGGCAGCTGTGTTAGAATGCAGAAATTTCAAAGGTTAGCAACTGAAGAATGAGCCTTCAAACTCAAGCAGAAACAGCTGCCAGGCAGTGTGTAGCTAGGACTACGCATGTGCAATAGTAGGAGATGAATACACTGATCTAAATTTATAAAACAAATTACATTTTGAGTTTATAATCTGTGTCTCCAAACTCCAACACTATGTGGTGCTAAATAGCCATGAACAAATGGATATGGAAAGGGTATTACAAGAAAAAGCCAAATGACTAGGGTTTGGTCTTAGACTATTCTCTCAGAAGTCAAAAGAAAGAAACGAAAGAAAGAAAGAAAAATGTAATAACACCTGTACCAACTTATTTCAAATGTTTAATTATAGAGAACATATTTATGTTCTCTATGCATGTTCTCTGACTCTGAACATCATCGATATGTTCAGCATCATTGCAAATATTTTTGTCTGTATCTCTCCAAATGGCTTTAAAAATTGTCATTAAAAACATTATCTTACGACAACATGGATGGACCTAGACGGTATTATATGCTAAGTGAAATAAGTGAGAGAGACAAATACCATAATGTGATCTCGCTTATATATGGACTCTAAAGAACAAAATAAACAAAAAAAGAAAAAGGAGAAAAACAGAAACAGACTCATAGATACAGAGAACAAACTGATGGTTACCAGATAAGAGGGGGGCTAGAGGACTAGGTGAAAAAGATGAAAGGATTAAGAAGTACAAATTGGTAGTTACAAAATGGTCATGGGGATGTAAAGTGCAGCATAGGGAATATAGTCAATAATATTGTAATAACCATGTATAGAGCCAGGCGAGTACTAGATTAACCAAGGGAATCACTTCATAAATATATAAATGTCTAACCACTACACCAGACACCTGAAACTAATAGAAAATAATATTGAAGATCAACATAATTTAAAGCATTTAATCTATTTATATTTAAAGTGATTACTGATAGGTACATTGTTACTGTCATTTTATTATTCATATTTGTTATTTCTATTTTCTTTTTTACCCCTTCTCTTTTTACAGAAGACCCTTTAACATTTCTGTAATGCTGGCTTGTTGGTGATCAATTCCTTAAGTTTTTTTCTGTCTGGGAAGTTCTTTATCTCACCTTCCATTTTAATTGAAAGTCTTACTGGGTAGAATATCCATGGTTGTAGATTCTTGTTTTTCATAACTTTGACTATTTCTTGCCATTCTCTCCTGGCCTGCAAAATTTCCATTGAAAAGTCAGCAGACATTCTTATGGGGGTACCCTTGTAAGTAACCAGCTTTCTTTCTCTTGCTTCTTTTAAGATTCTCTGTCTTTGACCTTTGGCATTTTAATTATGATGTGTCTTGGTGTAGGTCTGTTTGAATTCCTCTTGTTTGGCACTCTTTGTGCTTGAATTTGTACGTCTAATTCCTTTGCCAGGTTAGAAAAGTTTTGTCATTATTTTTTCAAACAGAGTCTCAATCCCTTGCTCTCTCTCTTCCTCTTCAGGTACTCCTATGATTCAGATATTTTTATGCTTCATGTTGTCCCAGAGGTCTCTTAAACTATCCTCATTTTTAAAAATTCTTTTTCCTTTCTGTTGTTCTGATTGGGTGTATTCAGCTACCTTGTCTTCCAATTCGCTGATTCGATCTTCTGCTTCGTCCAATATACTGTTGAATCCTTCTAGTGTATTCTTCATTTCGGTTATTATATTCTTCATTTCTGTCTGGTTCTTTTTTACAGTTTCTATGTCCTTTTTAATGCTTACTACCTCTCTGTTGAGGTTCTCATTGTGTTCATCCGTTCTTCCATAAGTTCGTTGAGCATCCTTATAACCGTTATTCTGAACTCTGTCTCTGGTAGGTTGCTTGCCTCCATTTCATTTAGCTTATTTTCTGAAGTTTTCTCTTGTTTCATTTGTGGCATGTTTCTTTGTTTTCTCATTTTATTAGCCTCTCTGTGTTCATTTCTATGTGTCAGGAATATTTGACATCTCTCGGCCTTGAACTGATGGCCTGATGGCCTATTGTGGAAGGTGTCCTGTGTGGCCCAGTGGCGCACTCTCCCTGATCCCTTGCTCCGGGAGCTCTGGACATGAACTTTGTGTGGGCTGTGTGTGATCTGCTTTTGTCACCAAGCCTTTATTGTTGTTAGTAGATCAGTGGGTGGGATTAACGTTCAGGCTAATTGTGTGAATTAGCTGCACCCTCAGGATAAGAGTTGTTGTATGGGGGCTGAGCCCACTGAGTGGGATTTGCCCTAGCAGGCTTGTGTACTTGTTGCAACCACCTTTTGTGTGTATCACTACTGGAGCTAGTCAGAAGTTGCTCCATTGTGGTCTGGTGCCTGCCACCAGATGCGTTAGTTTTATGGCACCTTGGGAGGGGCTCCCCTGTAGGCCAAGGTCAGCCGCTGCTTTTGAATGCTCAGGGCTACACGGTGAGAACTACAAAGTGATCTGCTGATGGTTGTTGTCTATGTTGGATCCTTAGGTGGCTCCTTTATATTATCAGATATAGGTGTTACGATCAGCTGGACTTCAGGTGATTCTTCATGTTGATTATTTTATAAATTGGTTGTAATTTCAATGTAGTCCTGGGAGGAGACGAACCCTGCTTTTACCTAGTCTGTCATCTTCCGTCTTCCTCAAATGCCAACATAATTTAAAAATAAATTTAAAAAAAAAAAGGTCCATACTTGACCAAAATCTTTTTTTTTTTTTTTTAGGAAATCTAATCTTAGGTATTTAAATAGCAAATTGTGATAGAAAAATATAATAGTCTCGATAAAAATATGGTTAAGATCTAATTAAGGATAAAAATTTGAACTTTGGGTTACAGTTCTAACTCAATTTCTTAAATTTAAATAAAAGGTAAGGTTACAATAGTTTGGAATTTGCAGTTCTGAAAAATGTACTTGCCATGACATCTAAAGTCTTGTATAAATCAAATCAGTTAATTATTCTAATTGTATTGAATACAAATAGCTCTCCAGTTTCATTTGAGATTTACATAAAAGTGAACAAAATTTGATGAAATATAGCAGCATGTTCAACTGACTTCAAATTTTACTTTATGGTTTGTATATGAAAAAGTAATTAAAGCCATCTGCATTCTAACATAAATGTTATTTACAAGTGAAAAACTAATTTTTTTATGCTTCCTAGATACCTTGGCTCATTACACAAATTTAAATATAGTTACTGATGCTTTAAAATATTTTGTTTACTTATAAATCAGTTAATAACGTTCTCTATTTTTATCACGTTTCCACATTCCTAACACATTTGAAAAGTATAATGTAGCAAATATGCTTTGAGTATAAGAGCCTATCAAGAGGCCAACACTGAACCGCATGGCCAGAAGCTGAGAATTTATAAATGATAAATCAGTTATCAGAATGTAAGCCTGCCCATGTTGGAATTTCTATAAGAAATTTAGCAGGAAGGCCCACTTATAAAGTAGATATCTGCTGAAGCCAGTGGCAATTGAGTTGTCTGTTGCACTAGTTTATTTTGGTTCTTTATTTTATAAACTATAAAATAAAACAATTTAGTGAGAAAAACACGTTCTTCCCACAGATGTGTACGTATTTTTTTTTTTTTTTTGGAAGTGCTGGTTCTTTATTGGCCAAGCAGACTACTTGAGCGGAATGAAGTGGGAGGAGTGGGTGGCCCCAATGCTGGGCCGGCAGTGCTTCACTGGCTTGTAGGTAATGAAGAACTCCTCCAGGTAGTGACCGATCATCTCGAGTTTGATCTCCACCTGGCTGAAGGTCTTGCCGTTGTAGACGCCCATCATGCTGTCCACCATCTCGGGCAGGATGATCATGCCCCGCAGGTGCCTCTCCACCACCTCCGACTTCTCCATGGGCAGCGCCTCCTTCTTGGCCTTGCGCAGACACTTCAGCAATGAGTGTTGCTTCCTCCACAGGCCCCGGTTCAGCTGCCGCCGTTGCCGGGTGCTGTACAGCTGCATCAGCGGCTCATAGGACATATTCAGCAGCTGGTCCAGGTCCACGCCGCGGTAGGTGAACTTCCAGAAGGTCGGCTTCTTCTTCTGCTCCACTTCCGCCATCTTGTCGGTTCTTCAGAACGGACCACCCACTCTGTGCCTGAGTTCATTTTTGTACTGATCTACAGCCCACTATAAGAAAACTGCTTGCTCCCCAAACAATTACCCTTTGGAGACAGTGGGTGAAGCTCACTGACATACATAAGCCAAGTGTTCACTAATAAAAGAGGATGCATATTCACTGTAAAATACCTATTCTATACCAGGCACAGGGCTGAGTCCTTTTTAAAAAGTATTATTTCATGTGTTCCTGAAGCACATACATGCCAACCCAAATATGCCACTTTGATACAAGAATTATTTTGAGTTGAAGGCAACTGAGAAGCAGATACAAGAAAAGCACTCTGCCCTCTATGTGCCTAATTTGTAAATGTGTCTTCCTTGTCTCTCTACCAGGAAGGACAGAAGTTAATCACCAGAGACAACTCCTGATCCTTATTAACCTAGAGATAGCACCAGAAGAATGGATATACATAACAAGCCTCATTACTAGCCTTATCTCCCATTAGCTTCTCCATACAGTTGCCTTCCAACAATTTGACACTAACAGCAGTTCAATGCCCTTCTCCTTTGTCCTGTCACTTCTATACAAAATTATTGTTCTTTGTTAAGATGCTATATAAGCTCAAGTTCTAACCACTCCTTTGAGTTACTTATCACTGAATGCTCCCATGCACAATGTATTAAAACTTAGGTTTTTCTCTTATCTGTCTTTTATCAGTGTAATGTAAAGGGCCCCAGCTGATGAACCCAAGATGGGTAGAGGAAAACATTTTTCCTCTTCTATGCTCCTAAACAACACACCTATGAGGTAAATTGTGTTATTATCCCCGTTTCCCAGAGGAGGAAAAGAAGTTTAGAGAGGTTAAATAAATTTCCCACATATATATGAATAATAATTGGCAGGGTCAGAGTGTCTGACCCAGAGTCTGAAGAACTCCCAAACATTGTATCTGTATTTGTAGTTCATGGTCCATCTACATTAGAATTACCTTAAATGTCTGTTAAAAGTACAGAGTCCTAGGGCTCACTGAATAAAAATCTTTTGTAGAACCAGTAACTTGAATTTTTAATATCCAAGTAATTCTAATGCTTAATAAAGGGTGGTAACTACTAATATACCATAGTGATCTTATAGTTGATTAATTTTTTATTTGGGGGTATTTCTCTTATAAGAAACAAGGATATGTATGACAAAATTAAACTAAGATGCCAAGAATTTAAATTTTAAATTATTAAATTTAAAATTTAAATTTAAAGTTATAAATACTGAGAAAATTAAAAGCATGTTATTTCTTCAGGCTTTTACCGCACACTACTACTTATTTCTATAGCCACCAGAGAAATCAATAGGCACATTATAGGAGCAGATAAAATAATTAGTTCAGTATTTAAAGTAAACTGATCTTCCATGTACCTTAACTTAATGCTAATCGATTTTCTGTATCTTACATCATTGATCTAACCAAAAGTTTTAGAAGATCTTAGAACAACTAACTTTGCAACCTTCAACAGTTCCTTGAATTTATAAATATCATAATTCATTTTCACCCTAAAACATGGTATGTCTTTATATAAACCTTCACATACTATGAAGTTATTATATCTTATACAAACATCATAATTTATCTTGGTCCTTCTCCTTAGTATGGGTTTAGTCTCGCAATCCTAAAACAACATATATTTCGTGCTCACTCCTAGAGAAATTAAATGTTTAAATCAGTACTTAGAAATCAGACTTTTAGTGGCTGAAAATTTTTCAATACATTTCAGTCTACTAACATGCATTTAGTACATTGTACAAAGAAAAATGCAAAGATAAAAAGGACACAAGCCTTGTACTCAAGGGACTGATTTGTATCTTCTGGGGAGAAACAAAGCCATTTCCAACAGACTCCAAGGTAAAGGCAAAAAGCATCCTAACAGCTTTAACTGAAATGTAAAGTATACAGGAGTGTAAATGGAAACGTAATTAATTCAAACAGAAGAAATACAAAGAAGGCATGACAAAAGAGACAGCATTTGAGTTGGGCTTTGATGACGAATTCGAATTTCAACTGTCAAGAGCTGAAAGATGAAATGCATTCTTAAATGAAAGACTATTAGGAGTGACAGTCTATAAGGTAGTTATAAAAGTTCATGGTATAGTTATGAAATATTGACCAGTGCTCTGCAGTTGAAGCAGAGAACATATGTGAGGAGAAATGGGTATAGAAACTTAAGAACAGGAAACTAGGAGACTTTAGAGCCACGGTAAGTTTAAACTTTGTAGAAAATGAAGAATCCTCAAAGGTTTCTGAGCAGGAAAATTAAGAGCGGTGTTTTAAAAAATGTAGACTAAAAAAAAGTGTTCTTAATTCTTTCCTATCATTTAACATGTACACGAATAAAGAAAACTATTACAATGAAGGCAGCAAGAAAGATGAAAGAAATATGGTTGAGTTAAGATTGATAAGCTCTAATATGAAGCTTGATAAGGAAAAGTCAAAGGTAATATCAAATTGGACAACTGGAATTGCAAACACTATTAACCAAGACAGAAAAGATAGGAGGAAGAACATATTTGCTTCTTTTACATTTAGACAGGCTGAAACAAGGAAAGATGAATATGGTTTTACATATGAGATTAAGATGTTAGAATATATATCCAGGAGGCATTAATTTAAGTGAATATACCCTTTGAAGGATACCCCGAGACCAGAAAACTTGATCTAGGTATCACCTACGAAGATATGAAGGATAAGTGAAGCAATGGAAATGGCTGTCATGAAGCAAAGCATGCATGTAATCCAAGAATAATGGAGCTAAAGAAATAACTAAAATTTCAAAACTAGATAGAAAAGAAGAGCAGTAATAAGAAATAACTCACATTTCAAAACTAGATAGAAAAGAAGAGCAGAAATAAGAAATAACTCACATTTCAAAACTAGATAGAAAAGAAGAGCAGTAAAGAAAACTCGAAATAAATAATTAAAAAGTAGGAAACTACAATGCTTCAAAAGCAAAAAGAGAACAGAATTTCAAGAAAACTGAATGGTCAATAGTGCTAAAATGCTGCGGAGATAGTAACAGTATAATGACCCTAAGAAGAAAACATTCCGTTTAGAAATTAGGTCATTACTGCAGGTGAAACAATGCATCTACATTAATGTTTGTTTTAACAAGGCAAAGGCACTATAATTTTTGGATACTATTAAAAATCCCAAAAGTCTTACCAATTGATAAAAACTAAACAGAAAAGATCATTATCAAATAAAAATGGGAGTCAGATAATGGGAGTTAGATAATCTTGAAAATTATTTTGACTGATTAAATTTAAATACGTCAATAATCGTTAATAAGACACCATTTTCCAAAACAAGCAATAACAGCATTTGCATTTGCAAAGTGTGTCAGAATTTAACTTTAAGGAACTGACAGACTCTTTCCTTGACCAATCTTTAGGCCCACTCCTCTGAGCCTTCTTTTCAACTAGGCTTCTAACTTGGCCTCCATCCTGTCTTTAGCCCACTCAGCCCACTCTTGTCATCTCCCTAACCTTGATCAAGTTCGTTCCTTATACCCCATCTTTGATGAATAAGTCCTTGGCCTGCCTTTAGCAAGAATCTCCCCACCCCTAATGTCTCCTCCATTGATTCCCTCACCCTGCTCCTTGGCTATAAATCCCCAATTGTCCTTGTTACATTTAGAGTTAAGACCAATCTCTCTCCCCCATTGCACTATGCTACTGCAAAAGTTTTGAATGCAGTCTTCCTTACCATTTTAACAAATGTCAGAATAATTTTTTCTTTAATATAATTCATTAAAGGAAAACAGTCACCTCTTGGCCAATATTAAGAGGAAAATAATTCATCATGCAATCACAAATGAAAGCAAAAGTTCAGCAGAATATCCATAAGACTGACAACTTAAATATTAATATCGATAGTTTATAATAAGTATTTAAAAATTCCCTAATTTTTTTATGCAAAATAATTTAAAAACGCTTTTCTATCAAAAAGAAAGAAAAGAACACTGAAAACTAGTAGAAGGTCATGTGATGATAGAGGCAGAGATTGGAATTATGCTGCCACAAGCCAAGCAAAGCCTGAGGTCACCAAAGCTGAGCGAGGCAAGAAAGGATTCTTCCCTAGGTCCTTCAGAAGGAACATGGCTCTTTGTTAATGCCTTGATTTCAGCTTTCGGAACTGTGAAAGAATAAATTCTGTTGTTTCAGTTTATAAATTTTGATCATTTATAACAGTAACCCTAGGAAACTAATACAGCTTGTTTAAGGACAATTAGAAGGCTACTGTGAAATAATGAAATTGGTCTCTGCCCCTGGTTCCTGCTAATATTTGGCCTTTGACCAAATCTTGTAGTTTCCGGAGTGATAGGAGTTTCTGACACAAAGCTCTTAAATCCCTTGGAATTTCCTGTGAAATAGGAATCTTTGTTCTAATGCCTGCGGTGACTTTTTGTGGGCTCCTGGATGGGGGCTGATCACCAGAAAGACCAAGCCATAATTAAAAACTTATAACTTTCAGGCCCACACCCCAATCTATGGGAAAGAAGCTGGAAATCGAGTTAATAATTTATCATGCCTAAATGATGAAACCTTCATAAAAATCCCCAAAGTATGGGGTTCTGAGAGCTTTATGATTGATGAACATATCCACAGGCCAGAAAGGACTGGTACATCCCAGCTCCACAGGACAGAAGCTCCTGGACTTGGGACCTTTCCAGATCTTGCCCTATGTATGTCTTCATCTGTATCCTTTAACATATCCTGTATCATACAATAAATCGGTAAACATAACTGTTTCCCTGAGTTTTGTGAGCGGTTCTAGCAAATTATTGAACCCAAGGAGGGGGTCATAGGAACCTCTAATTTATAGCTGGTTAGTCAGAAGCACAGGTGACAACCTGGACTTGTGACTGGCATTCAGAATGGCGGGGAGAGGAGCAGTCTTGTAAGACTGAGCCCTAAACCTGTGAGGTCTGTGTTAACCCTAGGTAGTGTCAGAACTGAACTGAATAGTAGGATACCCAGCTGGTGTCTGCGAAGCACTGGAGAATTGCTTGGTGTGGGAAGAAAACTCACACATTTAAAGTATAAAAGTATTCAGAGAATTTT